GAAGGACATGAAAACCTGCAGCTGGTTCTAAAGAGGAAGGCTTTCTTAAAAGAGATGTGCAACAGGTGAAGGAATTGCAAAAGGAGTTTAAAGCAAAGGCAACAACGGCAAAAGTAGAGTATAAGAATAAAATGGAACGTTAACTTCAGGAAACACAAGGGACGCATGGCGGGGTCTAAATACCATGATGGGCAGAGTTTCCCAGTCTACATCAGTAGACCACCTGGACCCGATCTCCTTTGTAGATACTTTTACCAGATTCAACAGTAATTCCACTCCAACCAGTTGGATCCCACAACTTACCAACACCGCTCTCAAAGACATTATTATTGATGAACAGCTCGTCTCTTCCATCCTGCATCGAGTAAACCCACACAAGGCCCCTGGTCCTGCAGGCTCAGAGGGAGAGCAGAAGGAGTGCTCCACTCTGTTAACTGGGTCTCTTACTAAACTGTTCCAAAAGCTACTGGATTCTGGTTGTGTCCCCAGTCTATGGAGGGAATCCCACATTGTACCAATCCCCAAGAAGACACCAGCCAAAGACCTGAACGATTACAGACCAGTGGCATTAACATCAGTTTTGAGTAAACGTATGGAGAGAGTGGTGTATGAGCACCTGGCTGACCATCTGGAACCACTGGTTTGCCTACAAATCCAGACGTGGTGCGGAGGACAAGCCTCACACTTTTGGACATGGTCGCAAAAAATCTAGACTCTGTCCACCCTCACACTAGGATTTTGTTCATGGACTTATCTTCTGCCTTCAACACAGTTAATATTAATGTGCTGCTGCAACATCTGCCAGATGTTCAGGTTCAATGAAGCTTGATTTTATGAATTCAGTGCTTTTTACCAGACGGACGACAAGTGTTTTTAAATGGTTTTAAGTCAAACAAGTTGATCTTCAACACTGGACTTCCCCCAAGGATGTGTTTTATATCCTCTCCTCTGTTTACACAAACTCTATTTTATAATGACCCTCTTTAAATATGCAGCTCTGATGGTGCAGCTGACTGGACCGCTATGAGCAGACAGTCCACGGTCTCCTCATGACGTTCACTCAACTCGCTGGAGCTGAACATCTCGAAGACTAAGGAACTGTGCTGTGGGAGTCCAGCCCAAACCCCAGGACCTTAAACCATCCACGGACAGCAGGTGGAGCAGGTGGATGTTTTCAAGTACCTCAGCACAGAGATAGACACAAACATGTCCTTCTCACAGCACACCTTTAATTTATTAGAAGACTCAACATCTTTAGCTGCTGAGAGGAAACTAAAGACCTTTCATGTGAGCAGGAGCACTCTGACCTTGATTTACAAGTCCCTGATCGAGTCCATTTGAACTTTTATCATTTCATCCTGGTTCAACCTCATCAATGGAAAACAGAAAGCT